ATGTATATAAGTATACATATATATATATATACATATGTGTATAGGGTTCTGCAGTCTTTATAAAGACTTCATAGAGATCTTAAATATTAAAAGCGTGTTCATAGGTTTTGTAGGGGCGAGCTCTTCAGTAATTCTGCCTGTTGTATGGCAAAAACTGGTTGCTGAACGGGTTGTTATGGGGCTCGGTTCTATATAGGGCTCGATGGGGATTTTGAGACGTCATAAGGGGCCGCTGCAGCCCCGGATTGGATGAGCTAGTGATGCGCTTACACCGTTCCTAGTTTCGGTGCCTCCTTGTGAAACCTGAGTGATGTAAGGGATCTTCGGGGAACCGTGTCCATATTCACACAAAAGCCTCAACAACAATAGAAGCTAGAAGCCTTTGAATGTTTTACGACAGGCTGCTTAAAAACACTCGAGGAAACCTCACCTTTGCCCTCAACCCTATACCCTTTCGTCAACGCTAAAACATCGTATGACCTAGCCCCAAACCCTAAACCCCAAGCAAAACCGCAGCGGAGGTATAAGCACGCGTACATCAACGGATCTACGATCGGACCGTTGGATACGTTTCCTAGCTCTCTCTTGAGGGTTTAGGATTCAAGGTTCATAGGCTTTACACTTCCTTAAGGGCTGAGGTTTTAGGTTTGGGGCCTAGCTCAAGCAGATTGCAAGATTCGGCTAGCCTCGCTTAGCATTTCAGTTTGGGCGGGCTGGGCACACTTGATGATTCAACTGAGTTTCTAGTCGTTTGAATCTCCCCTGATAGCCCCCGCAATGTCTTGAAACTGCTACTGCTAAGCCCCTATACGAAATCTCTGCCTTCGGGATGGGCACTTGGAATTCTCGTATCACATAGACATTAAACACAACTTGTTGATAAAAAACGACCAGGATTGTGGCTTTCTTTTTGGGGAACCCTAGGCTCTCTAAACCCTACACCCCAGAAACAGACGTCCGAAATCTCAATCCCTAAACCCTTAACGCTCTACACCCTAAACCCGAAGCCCTAAATGAACCGTTATAGTAACAAACCCTAAACCCTAAACCCAATCCCCCACAAGACAACGAAGGATCTTCCTGAAGCTTTCTCGCCCTGGCTTCGACACCATCCTCGTCCAGAGGATGTTGGAGACTGCGAGGACAAAACTGAGGAGTGCCAGGATTTGGGGTTTAATGTAGGAACCTTATTAAGAAACCCTGGCCCCATAACCACCAAAATATTAGGATTCATATAAGGAACCCTAATAAAGGTTTCTTAATCAGGTTCCCATATTAGGAGTTCCAGGCTTGCGAGCTCGTTTTCTGGGCTTTCGCATGGGTGGGTCTTCTGGGTTCTAGGGTTGCGAGTTTGTCCGTGCTTTCACTCGTAAAAAAACACAGAATCCCTACACCCTCCACCCGGCGGCACCCGGAACAACGAAGCCCTAAATTCGAGCTAATGGGCACAGACACAATTCCACACTCCTCCTATAATATCGTGTTTGGCATAAATCGTCAGTAATAGTTTTCCTTTCCTGAAGCATCCACAAATGGTTTGTTCAAGTTTAGGGTTCTGTTTGTTTGGCTGGAGGGTCTTTTGGCTTAAGAGATTCAGCGAAAAAGCTTTCTCGCCCTGCTTAAGTGCGCAACGGCGGCTAAGAATTGTCCAGGGTTTGGGGTTTGCTGCAGCGGTTTGATCATGCGTAATTCGTAGTATTCTTAGGGTTCTCTATTACAGAAGCCGCTTGATGGGGACTCCCCAACGATCAACGCCTTACCTTGAAGGGCCTGAGCATCAGGATCCTCACTGCAGTCCTCACACTAAGAGAGATGGGTTTTTCAGTCAAGATTCTACAGTAAAGACAGCAGATTGCAAGACATGTTCCTCAAGGTGCATGAGGATTCCATAGATGTTCAAGGGGTCTATCTGATCCATGAGGCCTTTTAGCTTATTTGACATGGCTGTTGTGGTTTGCGGTAGAACCCAAGAAGGCTCACAGGCCTCCAGGACAAAGCCCTGCCGTCGTGCAAAGACCTGTCCTATAAACCCCTTAAACTCCGAAACTGTCTTCAAAACTCGAAGCCCTGTAAACGCCTCAGTCTAAGCGTCGCAGAAGCCTTTCGGAAACCCTCTTAGAAGCCATGTAGCATCCTCATAGAGACGCCTTCATAGAAACCTTGCTCGCGTCCATGATGCCTACGAGTAAACCTAAAGGTTCAGGGTGTACGCTTGGATCGCGAGCAGGGTTCAATATAGTATGACCCGTATAGTAACGTTTACATACAGGCCGCACACCTTAAACCCTAAACCCGAACACCTTAAAGAAGGAACCCTTGAAGGAACCCTAGTCCAATCATAAACGCCCCAAGCCCTTGGGCTGAAGATTTGTCGAAATCTCTCGTTTTAGACCCTCTAAGCCCCTTAGGCTTTCATTATGCTCCTAAATCTAAACCTACGAAGCCGATTGTAGATATTTCAAGGAGTCGTGCGAATTCAAACCCTATTTTCCTTTGGGGCTTTGGGGGTTTATCCAAGGGGTCCTAAGTACCTGTATGGGGGGGCAGCTTATCCAAACCGTGAATTAATTCCAATTATTGAACCTTGGGATTGGCGAATCATCCATAGAGCCCAACACCTCTGCAGTATAAGGCGTATCGCCATAAATTCTAGGGGCCTTCATATTGTGGTCTCAATTAAGGAAAATTCGGCTCTCTCCCTAAACCCTACACCCTAAACCCTCTGGGCGGAGATCAAGGCATTGAGCGCTTGCGCCCGCGGCCCACCGGAGATTTGGCAAAGCGCGCCTCCCGGCAGCGGAGTAGGTTTGGTGAAGGATCGCTTGACAGGATCTAGGGATGTAGGGTTACTGGATTTTACGGCTTGAGGTGTAGGGTATAGGGCAGATCTCGCGGCAGGTTTTGAGGTCTTTGGGATGTAAGGTAGGTGCCTAGATAATTACCAGTACTTTTTTTTTTGGGGGGGGGGTGGTCTTCATTAGAACTATAGTATAATGGGTCCCAAAAAACCCTATTCTGATTATTAGGCCCCTATATTGCGGTTTAGGGCCTTGGTGTCGGGTTGAGGATCCCTTCGTGTCGTAGTGTTTAGGATTTACCGCTTTCGGGTTGAAGCAATATAGGCTCAGAGTGCAGTGAAGGATCCCTTGGCATAAGCACCCCGACCACACGCAATGCAAGGATTAGAGCGTTTCCGCCTTTTTTTGTTTTTTTTTTGGGGGGGGGGTGGATGCCTTCGGTATGTATACTAATCTATACCCCAAACCCCAAACCCAAAACCCTCATTTAGTTTCGACCCCAAACCCCAACCGAAAACCCTAATTTAGTTTCGATGCCGACCTAGTTTGCCTTGTGAAGCTGAACGTGTTCGGCCTTTCCGGAGATTGAGAGCTTGACAAAACCCTAAGGGTCCAAAGGACCCAATAATAGGGTACTTTGGTTGCGGATGGTAGTTATTTAGGTTAATATTTGGGAGAGTATATGATTATTAGGTACTTGGACCCTTAGAGAAAACTCTACCCCAAAGCCCGAAGCCCTAAACCCTAAACCCCAATCCGTTTCGATTTCGTTACATTGACTTCTGTTCACGGAACCAAGAGGTATGCTCCGAACTCCAACCCGTAAGCCTGTTCCGAAGTTCTAGCATTCGCGATGAAGCCCTTGTAAAAACAAATCCTTTGCAGGAACAAGGACCCGCTTCTGTAGATTTCAAGCGAAGCCCTACAAAGTCCTTCTACCTTAAACCCTGAACCCCTTCTTCGATTCATTAAGGATCCGATTACTTCGCGTGTCTATGTGTGTCTGTTGTAGGGCTTAACCTTTGAATCTCCCAGTACTATTAGGGAGACCCCTCAAAGGGAGTCTCTTATAAGGGACCTTACTGAGACTGAGAGGGTCTATATCCCCAAGGGCCTGCTAATCCCATCTCCAAAATCAGGCTTGGGATCTAGAGGCTTGTAAGACATTGGACTTCGGGTGTCGAGTTTAGGATTCGAGGGTGTTCCTTTTCTGAGTTTGTGGTTTGAAGTTCCGGTTTTAGGGTTTTGTAGTTTTGAGCAGAGGCTTCTATGCCATTATGTTCATGTTGTTCTGCGGAATGATAGGCAGGATGATAACGATGATGATGGTTATGATTCTGGTGAGTATGCCGATTGCTCCTCTTTTTGCAATCGGTGCGATTCTTCCTTCACATACGTGCATGTGCTAGTGACTGCTAGTCAGATATCGCTGTTAATAGTTGTTTATCTTATGGCTGGCCTTCGGCAACTATTTCCATCCCTGCTAATATTCTGCAGTTGTTGTATTTGCTTTCTCATGTCTGTTATTGCTGCCACTAGGTTACTGTTTCCTGCTTATTGCTGTTTGTATATGCATGAAAAACCTAAGCCCTAAGCCCCTTAACCCGTAAACCCCTAAACCCGAAACTCTATAAGCCCTATACTAAATACCCTAAACTCTGTAAGCCCTAAACCCAAAACTCTATAAGCCCTAAACCCTAAACTCATAAGCCCTATAAGCCCTAAACCCTAATCCGAAGTTTGGAATCCGTATCGGTGCAACGAATTCCCTAAGGGTCCATGTACCCAAATAGTATATACATTGGCCCCAAAGTATCAATATAGGGACTACATTAAGGCCAAAGTATATACTATTTGGGTACATGGAAACCCTAAACCCTAA